GCACTGCTGGGACTAACGCACAGATGTGACTGCAAAGACTGTGCTTTTTCTACTACACCATCTGCTTGCCACACAAACAAAAAAGTTGCTTATGTGAAAGTCTGGGAGGCCCTGTAACCACAGGCACTGCACCCCCCACCCCAGGGCCCAAGCACACAGCAGACCAACGCTTCCTCTGGCAGTAGGACACCCACAGTGCTCTTCTCCGTGCTACTATTTTAAGGTAGGTTCTCTCTATAAAGGGCTCTTGTCTCAGTAGAAGAGACCATCAACAAAGAACCTGAACCACAAAAAGTCAAAGTCAACGGACAAACCTTTATGAACTTCACCAGCCTCCAATGACAAGTCCTCTTCTGCTCCCACCTGGCCTGCGTCTCTGCTCAGGCTACCTATCTGAGCTTGGTGATTCACTTAAAGGACTCCAATTCACTTCAAAAGATGTACCATCAAGTGGGGTTTAATCCACATGGGAGGTTCGGGACAGAGTGCCCATTCTAGATAAATTGTCACCAGCAATACAAGTAAGAAGGCCAAAGTCACAAGGCCATCTAAGTAGCAGAGTCAAGTTCAAACCCAAGTCTAACCCCAAAGCCCACACCTTAACCACCATGATGTGTGACCTCTCCCTGCCAGCCCTCACTTGCTACTGGCTCTGGGTTAGACACAGCAAACCAAAGCCAAGCAAAGCACCCAGTTCATGAAATCTGTACATAGATTTCCAGACTTGAAGGTTCTGATCCTACTCTCTGCTCTCTAGGTGTTTAGAATAAAATCATCATGCAAGTGGCGTTTGGCTGACACCATGCAGGTGACAAGGACTGCCTCTTTATCCAAACTTTAATCAGGCTCCTCTTCTCGAGGAGGCCTTTGCCTGCAGTGCCCAATTGTAACAAGATACTCCTCTTCGTAATTTTCCATTGGGGCAGTTCAGGACATGCTATCCCCTATATGGCACCTTGGCACATTGAATATTTTAAGCTGAAAGAATTCCACTGACCCCCTCACCTTGCTCACAGGCTATGAATCCCCAGCTGACCTTAGTTCTGTACTGAAGTATCTCTCCCCTACTGCAGTAGCTAGAAAAAAATGTCTTGCTGTTTTTAAAAAGTATCCAGTGCAATACGGATGAGCTTGGAGAAAATTATGTTAAATGACATAAGCCAGGCACAGAAAGGCAAATACAACATGTCCTCACTTATAAGTAGGAGCTAAAAAAGAAAAAAGAACAATCACAATAGTGTGTTGAATTTTCAGAAGGAGAGAACAGAACTGTGGTTACAAGAAGTAGAAAAGGGAAAGGTGGAGGGGGGTTAGGAAGAAATTGGTTAATGGACACAAAGAATGAGTACGTGCTGTTATGATGAATATTGTAATCATCCTGATTTGATCATCACATATTGTACACAAATACTGATCGTCAACTCTGTACCCCATAAATATATATATAAATTATGTTTCAATAAAAAAAAGTATCTGGCACAATTTCTCCTTAACACAAGATGCATAACTGACTCAGGGGAGACCCTTCCCCTCTCTAGACCTTAGCTGCCCATCTATGAAACGACATGGTAGAACTAAATTTTTAAGGGCCCGTTCAGTTCTCAAATCCTTTGATTTTCTAGTTAAAGAGTAGGATTAGGGCCGGCCCGGTGGCGCACTCCTACAGTGCGCCGCTTGGGAAGCGCAGCGGCGCTCCCGCCGAGGGTTCGGAGGGTTCGGATCCCACATACAGACTGGCCACTCACTGGCTGAGCGAGGTGCGGGGGCAACATGGAGGGTTGTGATCCCGTTGCCGGTCCCGGTCCAGTACGGGCGCGACACTAAGGGTTGCGATCCATTGCCGGTCACAAAAAAAGAGACAAAAAGGAAAAAAAAAAAAAAAGAGTAGGATTAAAACGAAATCCAATTATATCTTACCTCAATGGAAAATGCATTTTATTCAGGCTACTTCATCATTTTTTTTGTACAGAAAAAATTTGTGATTCAGTGACAAACTGGATTCTAGATTAGAGCATACCCTTCAAGATTGTCTAATTCAGATTCTATAGGAGTTATTTTACAATCCTGTATACTGTAGATAGCAACAATGCAAATAATTCTTGTCTATAGACATGCAAATTAATTCTTTCAAATGGAGGTTCAATTGACTTTCTTCCCCCACTGTGGAAAGAGGCCAGCTTTGCGTTCCATGTGCACATTCATTGCAGTATTTCTAATCTACAAATATGAATACTTTGGAGTCTCCTTTGAACTAGCTGTAACACCTCACCAAGTTTCCTCATTAATCAGTTAAATAAAATTCTTAGCCCATGTTCATTTTTATATTTGTATAGAGTGATGACTTTATCTTCTTTAAGAAGATTATCTTTTAACATTATAGAAAGTACAAGCAACTATCTCATATTTCAAAACAAACAGTCAAAAAAAATGTTTTTATCTACCAATGGCTAGAAGAATTTAGGTATTTAGCAAAGTAAATTTTGGTCGATGGTTAATAGCTTCTCCACATTTTTATTTTCAATTCTTATTTGGCATTTGAATTTTCTTTTACCCAAATTACTACTTTTGAAACCTGGTACCAGTGCAGTTTGTAGTCTTTTTCCAAAATGACTGAACATGTCCTGTTAATTCCTAAGTTGAATTTTTTCTTTAAGTATAATCTTTACTTCAAGAAATTGTAGAGCTGACATTGAACTACAGAAATGTATAACGACTAACATAAAACACCTGTTACCTATCATCCAGACTGTCAACCACTAACATTTTATAAATCTGCTAAGTCTTTATTCCCCATAAAACAAATAAAACATTACAGACGAAATGTTTCCCCTGTCCTGTCTGATGCTCTCCATACCGTAAGGTAACTACTATCCTAAATTAGCTTTTCTTTATGATTGACTTATTATACTTTTAAAAAGATATATACCCACTCATAAACATTCCCCTACTAATGGACATTTAAGGTGTTTCCATTTTTTTTTTAACCATTATAAACAATGTTGCAATAAGCATCCTAATATTCCTCTCCCTGTATACAAATGTCAATTTCTTTATGGTATTTTCTAGAAGTGGAACCACTGGGTCTTAAGACATACCCATTTAGCTGGTGGCTTTACTATTCTAAGATACACTTGTACCACTAGTGAACGAGAATCTCATACATATTCTTCAAACATCTATTATCTCTTAATAGCATTAAACTTTACAATTCCTAATCGGATGACTATAAAGTGATCTAATTACATTTTAATGTGCATTTCCTGGAGTTCAAGAAGATCTGAGTCTTGGGGCTGGCCAGTTAGCTCAGTTGGTTTGAGCGTGATGCTGACAACACTAAGGTCCAGGGTTTAATCCTTGTACTGGCCAGCCGTGAAAAAAAAAAAAAAAAAAAAAAAAAAAAAAAAAAAAAAAAAAAAAAAAAAAAAAAAAAAAAAAAAAAAAAAAAAAAAATCTGAGTTATCGTATGGTTAACCATTCAGATTTCAACACCCTCAATACATGTGACAACTTCCTCACCATAAACTGGGATTCAAATGATGGTCCACAAAGCAAATTCTGCAGTTAAAACACTGGGTATTTCTCCCAAAGACAGCCATAGGTTGGAAAACTCAAGAGATGGTGTTTATTTCAATATATTTTTACTGAACAATACTGGGTATAGTGTATTCTACCTTCTTGACAGCTCTCAAATCTTTTCTCCTCTCCTCTCCCTTCCCACTGCAACTATCTTTAAAACCTTCCATACTTTCCTGCGGTTTACTGAAATCACCTCCATATCTTTAGTTTGGCCTCTCTCCAACACTTTTTCTCACTAAAGAGTACCTAAGCTATTGATCTACACGAAACGAAGCTTCCTGGGCATTCGGGACAAGATCCAAATCTCTCACAGCAGCTCAGGAGGCCCTGAGAGGTGCACCTCTCTGTTCTCATACCTCATGAAATCCACCACCCACGTGAAATCCCTTGTCCCAACCAGGCTCCACGATTCCAGGTCCAAAAGCATTGCTCTTTCCATGCCTTCACCATGCTGTTTTCCAGATGAAATGCTCTTCGCCTTCATCTCACCAGCTCCTGCCCATCCCTCAGGCTCCCCTCAAGCATCCCCTTCTGTGGGAAGTCCTACCCCTCCCCCAAGTCAGGGTTAGATGCTGCCCCCTACATACCTGTGCTCCAGACCCTGTAACACCGGAATTCTTCACTAGAGACTGCCTCTCCGCTTTATGAAACGGTCTCTGCTCAAAAAGCTTATGGGCTCGACAAATGTTTGCTCTGCAGCCCTAAAGTAAAGAAAGCTGGCGACTCCACTCACCACATACCCTGGGCACTCGTCTACAAAACAAAGCACGTGCGACACCAAGTTCCTTCTTCCAGACCCCAGATCCTACAACGCGTGGCGTGGGATAATCCAGGTAGGGACCATCTCAGACCCAGTCGTTAGAGGCAGGGGACCAAACCCGGATAACACTCACTCCCACGCTTACGTGGGTGGTCCTGAAACTCACCAGAAACCAGAGCTTCCCAGACTTCTCGGAAGGGATCTTTCTCTACGTTTGGGTATTTCTGTCGTTTTCGGTGACAGCCCTTCCCCACGGGGCAGTCCTCCACATCATAAGCACCCACAGTTGTCCCTAGATTGTAAAGGTCACAGCCAAGCCCCAGATCCTGCCGGATACTCCCCGGTTGTGGGACCTTAGCAAATCCCGTCTCCTGCCGTGCCTCAGTTTCCCCCTCCAGAGCAGCGCCCTTCCAGCCAGAACACGCGAGACCCAGAGTGCCTTCCACCGCCACCCCCCACAGGACACCGGGAGGACAGGCAGCAGGGTCTCCCTGGCGATCCACCGTTTCCCGAAATTCCCCTCAGCAGGGTGAGAAAAAAATGACTCAGAAAGAGCCGGGGGAAATGAAAATCCCAGCCGTGAAGCCCAGCGCCGCGGCAGACGGGCGGCCCCAGCCACGGGCGTGGGGTCCAGCCCGGGTCCCCCGCTGGGGCCCGCGGTTACCTGCGGCGGATGACCGCGACGGCGGCGGTGCCTGCAGCGGGGGAGGACCGTGGGAACCCCTGGCGGCGCGCAGCCTCAGACCAGTCACCCCGACGTCCGCCCAGCTGTGATTGCGGCGCTGCGCCGCCGCTCCTCGCCTACTGGGCCTCCTGGGCCGCGGTGATTGGTGGAGCTTCGGGGCGAGGCGTCTGCAAAAGCCAATGGGAAGTGGGGACGAGGCCAGCGATCCAGAGGGACTACAAATCCCAGCGTGCACAGGAAGGGGCTTCTCTGGGCCCAGCGGCCCCGGGAGGCTGGGGCGGAGGTTGCGCAATGAGCTAGGGTGGGCGGGGGTCCCGGGGTAGGTGGGGACCAGAGGGACGGAGATTCCAGAAGTGTTCACCGAGGGATCAAACCAGCTGTCTGAGCTCTTTAAACCCTTGGTCTCCGAACTTGTTTGCACATTGGACCCACCCAGGGAAGCTTCAGAAATACTGATGCCTCCGTCTAACTCCCAGAGATTGCGATTTCATTGGCCTGAGTCTGGCCTGGGGTTTGGAATCTTTAAAGACCTCAGGTGATTCAGGTGCGCAGACCCATTTAGTTCTCATAATAACCCTATGAGAGATAGACATTGTTATTGTCACCCCAGCTTTATAGAGAGGGCAACTGAGGGAGGTTGAATCAGGGAGGTTAAGTTAATTTTCTGAAGATTACATATATCTTAAGTGTCAGAGCCAGAGCTGGGACCCAGACAGGCTAGTTCCAGAATCCCATGCTCTTAATCCATTACTAATGCTACTTCTCAAATGCTTGGTATTATTACCTTACAGGGAACTGGAGAGAAAAATAAAATACTACACTGTATATACAGGTGCCTGGTGGTGACTCCCAGTAAATTGAATGGAGTGGAATTGATGTGATGGAAGAAGTGTGATCCTGCCCAGGACCTCAAGGACAATCACTAGGGCTACATTCGTGGGTTGACTCATTTGATCTTCTTTAATAATCTTTTTTTTTTTTTTTGCTCCCGCGCCTCGCTCAGCCAGTGAGCGGGAACCGGTCTATACGTGGGATCCGAACCCTCCGACGGGAGCGCCGCCGCGCTTCCCAAGCGGCGCACCATCTTAACAGTAGGTTGTAGATTAGCATACTGCTCTAGGCCTGCTGACTGTTTTGTAAATTATTTTGTAAATAAAGGTTGACCTTCATTTACAAAACCTAATTGGAACACAGTCTCACCCATTAAGGTATTATCTCTTGCTATTTTTGCAAAGAAGGCAAAGTTAAATATTTGTGAGAGACCTTATGGCCCACAAAATTAAAAATTTTATCTACTGTCTGATCCTTTACAGATAAAGTTTGCCAATCCCTTGGTTAAGTAAGTGGCCCAAGATCACAGCTTGGAAGTGACCTTGGGCTTCAAGGCCATACCACTTCTCACGACCGCTATGCTTTTACAGTCTTTTGCAATGGGGAGGATTCATTAATCCATTTATTCAACAACTAGGAGGTGCCCCTTACGTGCCTGGTACAGCTGAGCATTGAGAAATAGGATTTGTTCCTTCCCCCTTGGGAATTCACTGTCTAGTAAGAGAGGCAGAAGTGTGTCCTTAACCACTCCCTAATTCATCGAGAATAAATGGTGGCCTTTGGCTGATTAAACCTTAACGGTTAAAATGGAATAAAAGTGGCAGCCTCATGCCTGGCATATTTAGACAAACAAAGGGCAGGGCATAGCCCCCCTTGGTCTCCCTCTGCAACAGAGTGGGCTGAGAGCTGAGTGCGGCACAAGAGAAGGTGGCTGAAAGTTGAGGGCCAATGGGAGGAGTTGCTGGAGATTGCCCTGGTGATGGTCAGGCAGCCGGGAAGAAGCTGCAAGGTAGTTATCCTACACTAGCCACAAGAGGAGGCTGAGATGAGAGAGGTCTAGAGTGGGGACTGGGTGCACATGGTGGGCTCTACCGTCAAGCTGCCTGGATTCAAATCCCAACTCTACCACTTACAAACTGTGTGACCTGAGCATGTTACTTAGCTTCTCAGAGCAGTACTTACTTCATAAGGTCTCTCTGAGAACTAAATTTGTCAACACAGTGCTTAACACCAAGTAAGTGCCCCATAAATATTAGTTACCCACAGGTTCAGAGGATCCCTTGGGCTGCTGGGCTATAACTTGAGAATTCCAGTGAAGAAAACAAGGTGGGAATCTGTAACCTTGAGATCTGCCTTGCTCCTGGTACCCACTCATGGATGGCAGTATGGTATAGGAAATGCTGAGCCAATGGGAATCACCAGGAGCAGAGAGGTAGGCACTAAAACAGCCATGGGTGGCAGGCTGGCACAGGTGGCAGGAGCAGGTCAGGTTCCCCATGGCCATAGAAGCATGGGGACCTCTCCACCAAATGCCCTGGCAGAATCCTCACAAGGAAATCATGGCTGGGACTCTTGCTACAATAGCATGCAGTCAAAGGTTAATGAGGCTCATGCCAGATATGAAAAAGCGATATCACAAGAATGGGGCAGATAACTGGGTCACCAGAGATAACAGCACTAAGGAGCCATTTCAGAATAAGAGTATTTTTCTTTATCTAATAGTGAAAGATTAAGTGAGAGATTAAGATCATGAAGCAAGAGTTTGAAAGAGTATGAAACATACTGGTTATGTTTAGAGCAGGGTTTCTCTACCTGAGCACTATTGACATTTAGGATGGGTAATTCTTCATTGTGGAGGGAGTTGTCCTGTGTATTAGTCCGTTTTGTGTTGCTATAACAGAAATACCTAAGACTGGGCAATTTATAAAGAAAAGAGTTTTATTTGGCTTACGATTCTGGGACAGTCACATCTGGCGTGGACCTCAGGCTGCTTCTGCTCATGGCGGAAAGTGGCAGGGAGCCAGCGGGTACAAGCAGATCACATGGTGAGAGCAAGAGAGAGAAGCAAGAGAGAGAGAGAAGGTGCCAGGGTCTTTTTAAGCAACGAGCTCTTGCGGGAACTAATGGAGCGAGAACTTACTCATTAATCCCCCTCCCCCAGGGGGAGCATTAATCCATTCATGAGGGATCCGCCCCCATGACTCAATCAGTTTCCAATACTGCCACATTGGAGATCAAATTTCCACATGAGTATTGGAGGGGACAACACATCCAAACTCCATCAGGAGGTTTAGCCGCATCCCTGGCCTCTATCCTCCTGATGGCAGTACCAACCCTCCCCCAAGTTGTGACAACCAAAAATGTCTTCAGATATTGCCAAAAATCTGCAAAATGTGCACTCTACCCCATGTTAAGAAACACTGGTTTAGAGGGAGGGCCGAACATATTCATTCATTCATTCATTCATTCATTCATTCTGTTTGATGTGATGACTAAAGTTGGGGACTCTGGATCCAGACTGCCTGGGTTTAAATTCCAGCTCTGGCACTTACTGGCTGTGTGACCTTGGACAACCACATCACCTCTCTGTGCTTCAGGTTCTTCATTTGTAAAACAAGGAACGATAATAACAGTGCTCTATTTCACAGAGTTGTTATAAAAGTGAAACAAATTGGGCCGGCCCGTGGCTCACTCGGGAGAGTGTGGTGCTGATAACACCAAGGCCACGGGTTCGGATCCCATATAGGGATGGCCGGTTGGCTCACTGGCTGAGCGTGGTGCTGACAACACCAAGTCAAGGGTTAAGATCCCCTTACCGGTCATCTTTAAAAAAAAAAAAAAAAGTGAAACAAATTAATGTATGTAATGAAAAAACCTAGAACAGGGTCTAGACATGGGTCAGCTATTTACCAAGTGCATAGTGAGTGCCAGGCACTAACCTGACCTCAGGGTTCCTATGGGCAATTTTCCCACCACAGACGGAGTGACCTTTTAAAATGTCAATATTCAAATTGTAGTATAATATGCACAGAAAAATATGCAAATTATAAATGTACAGTTCAATAAATTCTCACAAAGTGAGCACATTCAGATAACCAGCACTCAGATAAAAAACTGAGCCTGGGGGCCGGCCCGTGGCTCACTCAGGAGAGTGCGGTGCTGATAACACCAAGGCCCCGGGTTCGGATCCCATATAGGGATGGCCGGTTCGCTCACTGGCTGAGCATGGTGCTGACAACACCAAATCAAAGAGTTAAGATCCCCTTACCGGTCATCTTTTAAAAAAAAAAAAAACTGAACCTGGCCAGCACCTCAGAAGCCTCCCTTTGGCCTCCTTCAGGTGATTTTTAAAAATTTCTTCTAATGTTTCTTTCCTTCCTCTGAGTATTTCACTATGCTGTTTCCTCTGACACCCATCTCCCTTTGTTTTTATTCTGGTCAATGCTACTTACTCTTCATTTCATTTTATTTTTTTATTGCGGAAAATATACATAACATAAAATTTGGAATTGTAGGGCCGGCCTGTGGCTTACTCGGTAGAGTGCGGTGCTGATAACACCAAGGCCACGGGTTTGGATCCTATAT